GAAGGTAATCCGGATAATTCTTTTCTTTCAGGGGATGTGAAAGTGGCATCCGAAAGCTCAATCGTTTATGACACTATTCTACGAACTGGGGGTGGTGAATCGTTTCAAACTCTAAAACGTGAATGTGGAGGCTATAAGGAAAGTCCTGACACTCGTGAAATTTCATTTTTTTTATAACAAATTTGTAAAAAAACTTGAAATTTCATGAATTTCAGGACCTTTTTTATACTCTCCGTATTTTAAAGTTCGAAGCGATTCAGTACCCCCAGTTTGGATAAAAGTTTCACGAACGAGAACTCTTTGACGCCACTTTCGCATCACCTTTATCGCCATCTTTCTGCCAAAGGGGTATCGAATGCCTTCCAATCCCGCGTCCCCTTTTTCTCTCCGAGTAAGATCGACGGGAAGCTCCCCGTTTTCGCAAACTAGGCGAAACGATCCATATTGCCGACTTCGATCCAAATGGCGATCATCGACGGCACGTGCGCGATTTGTTCCCGAGAAATCGATTACCTTAGCTCGTGCACCGACTCGAGACCTTCGTTTACAGTTACCGTTCGCTACCATACGAGTGTCTCCGCAAGTACCTATGTGCGCCGCCCCGGCTTCGTAAATAACGGGCACATATAGCTACTTACTGGATAACGTACGTTCGAAGCTGACAAGGAATATTTGTGCCCGTGTCGAACATAAATATGAAGGCAACCACGGAAAGGTCGGCATCACGGTTCGTTCCGCCGAGGAAATCAGGTCTAGAGCAGTGCCGTGAATAAGTGCGCTGATATTGCCGGTTATGCCTTTGGAATGATATACCATAATTATATTTAAGGGACGTCGTAAAAGATGTCTTGCACCGTCGAGCATATTTTTCTTTGCGTTATTTAGATAAGAAGTGTCATAAAATTTCGTGAAAAACGCGTTTCATGGCGCCGGGCGGGAGTACCATTGTACCATTAATTGTAATAATTAGAAACATAGCGATGGAGTGAAGTCGATCATTGATTGATTACAAGCCTTTCCGGTATCGACGCCGACACTGGATTCGATATCGACTGATATCTTAACGGTACCGCGCAAAAGCGAACGATACTCGATGGACTGTATTTTTTTTTTTACGTTATTTAGAGAAGAAGTGTCATAAAATATCGTGAAAAACGCGTTTCATGGCGCCGGGCGGGAGTACCATTGTACCATTAATTGAAATAATTTGAAACATAGCGATGGAGTGAAGTCGATCACTGATTGATAACGAGCATTTCCGGTATCGACTCCGGCACTGGATTCGATATCGAGTGGTATCTTGACGGTGCCGCGCAAAAGCGAACTATACTCGATGCACTGTGCACCTGTATGCAATGCTGGATCAAGGACAATGTGTCTCTCGATCGTTCGATTGATCCGCTAAATGTCAACCGAGCAGTAAACACCGCCGATATCGCCACGGAATCGTTCCCGCCCAGTTTTGCAGGTTTACGAGCGGTATTATTAAGATGCGCAGGATGAGCAGGATGGCAGCGATAGTTTCAGGGGAATTTAGATGTTTACGTAGTTTGGTTGGAGAAGTACTTAACGAAAAAAAAAAAAAAAAAAACTTGTCAAGATGTAAAAAGACTCCGCGCCGTGGGTGTAAATCTGCGGTTTAAGTGCAGCGTGATTATTGCGGATTTATTGCTGTCATTGGGGCAAGTGGATCTAGGAAACGCGGATTCGACTCGGTCTTCGAAAGAACGTACTTGCTCGTGGTATTTCATAGAATTACCGGAGAGAAAGCGTCGTAGTTACTGTAAGAAATAATGACCGTTGGCAGATAGATTCCTTTACAGTCCTGGAAGACGTTAGAGGGGAAAAATTGAAAATGATACGCCGGGGAGAGACGACCTTTACGTGAAATTAGAGTCTCTTCGGAGTAACATTTCGAATTCAATCGATAAAATCCTGAGGACTCGGAGGACGTGCGTAAGAGACCGACGGAATGTTTAAACCTTCCTCATTTTTCGCTATCGCGACGGGTTAACTTCTCACCCGTGTCGAATGAATTCATCTCGCTCACGTGGACGCGGTCGGTGAAACGCTCTCGGGGTAAAATATTGAGAAACGTTAAAGACGGCTGTCTATTGAACGTATAATCAAACATCGCACAATGTCAGCATCGGTGAATCTCTCGTCGCAAACGCGGCGACGTTAATTCTCCACCTTTCGCGTAGAACTTTCTACCGACATTTCTCGAGGAATGCATTTAGCGTTCGACATGCTAAGTAACCGAAGAATCCACTGCCTCGGGACTTTCATCCTCGGGTGCATTCTCGGTACGGGTAATCGTAACGGCACTTGCACCTTCACGTTCCATTTTTGATAAGATTAATTGAAACGCACTTTTTAATATGATTAATAAACGTATGTGGCATCGACAAAAAGCAGACTTAGACTAAAAACGCGACCAGCCGAATTCCTAGACTCGTTAAACTCGAGTCATATTTTCTAAAACTCGGGTTATCGGGACGAACTAATGCGAATCATGCGTGAGAAAACTAGACCGAATTGCGAGAATAACAACAAAGTTGAATTAAATTCGTTTACTCTGTCGATATTCAAGCCATTTCACTCATCGACTCGTCATTGACTCGATTCATCGCGCCGAACGTATCCGGACACTTATCTCCTTCCATCACCAAATTATCGACTCGACCGAGGGGCTATTCACTTGGAAATCGATCAAAAGGATTTCATTCCTTAAGAAATGATTGCATTTGATTTCATATGATAAACGGTAATGTTATGCATTAGTTAGTGATTTCCGGCATTAAAGCTGTTGGTATTAAAGTTTCGGCGATTTTCAACGATTTCCTGTGATTTCCAACAACGTGCCTGCGATTTCCAATGATTTCCACTGATTTCTAAAATTCTATTTCCGACTTTTTTCATATCCAAACGATTTCCCACGGGTTCCACATGATTTCCAATGATTTCAATCGTTGTCACCTGTTCCTAACGATTTCAAAACGTGTTACATTCTTCAAATAAGGCTCTTAATGATTTTCAGCTGATTACCATATGATTTCCAGCATTAAAATTCATGATTTCCCGAGTGAAATACCTCCTCGGACTCGAATCCCGACTCGGGTTGACTATATTTTCGAATTCGAGAACCTTGAGTCGATAAAGCATTCGACTCGTCCCATAACCAATTTACACTTGTCCCAAAAATGGAGAGGGAGGTTATTCAAGCCATTTCACTCATCGACTCGTCATTGACTCGAATCATCGCGCCAAACGTATTCAAATGCTTATTTTCTTGCATCACCAAATCATTGACTCGAGTCCAAACTCGAGTTGACAATAGTTTCGAACACCTTGAGTTGACTATATTTTCCAATTCGAGAACCTTGAGTCGATAAAGCATTCGACTCGTCTCATAACAAATTTATACTTGTCCCAAAAATGGAGAGGGAGGTTATTCAAGCCATTTCACTCATCGACTCGTCATTGACTCGATTCTTTGTGCCGAACGTATCCGGACGCTTATCTCCTTCCGTCACCAAATTATCGTCCCGAGTCCAAATTCGAGATGACAATAGTTTCGAATACCTCCAGTTGACTATATTTCCGAATTTGAGAACCTTGAGTCGATAAAGCACTCGACTTGTCCCAAAAATGCAGAGGGAGGTCGCGAGGGCGCGGATCCAGAAACGGGACCTCGGAGATCCTGGATCCCGCGCAGGATCTGTCGCCTCGGTTTCGATACGGCGATAAATCCCGCAATGACCGGGCTGCATCGGTTACACGTGTAAATCAGCGGCATCGAGCGGTAAACATACATCTCGGGCCCGTTCCGGCCGGCCTCCGATCGGCTCCGCGATCCGGACTTCGGCTCGCCGGGCCGGGCCGGGCGGAACTTAACGGGATCCCACCTATTGCGGGTGTCCGATCGTAAATTACGCATTACATCGCGCCACGTGGCCGATCGGAAGGGGATTTCTCTCCGGGGGAGATTTACGGAGAGGGTTCGCGGATCGGTCGCGGCGATCGCCCGTCGAACGCCCCGTGCTAATAACACGCTCGATCCTGGCAAATGCGTCGGTTGATCCTCGATTTCCACGCTCGATCGCGCCCGACGCCCATGGAACCGACCGAATCGAGGAATCCGATCGACGAATGCATTTTTCCCGGATTTCGGTCGCCCGGCAGATTTTTCCTCTCGAGGTATCCTCGCGCGAGAGATCCGCCGTAATTGTGCTCGCAGAGCCGGGATTTTTCGGCGAGCCTTCGACCAATCGATCCTGCGATCGGGCGCCGAGGGGTTAATCGGAATTGAGCGTATCGTCGATCTTTATGCTCGATCGCATGACCCACGCAGGGGTCGTGCGCATCCCGTAAACTCTGAAAAAAGATTCCCCGTTGATTTTCACGTTACCTCTGCCTCTTCGAGATATTCCAACGACCGTCGTGAAGGAACCCCACGAGTCTTGCGTCTTACTCATATGTGTTCGTTTGTACCTCGGGACTTTTATTAATCGCCGGTTTAACAGAACTTTTATATGGAATTGTTTAGTCTATATCTAGGTCGAGTTAATTTAATTTTAAATAAAATGTCTCGGTACCTCGTAGACGTAGAGGACGATTAGACCACCGGCTACGAGGTGCGGTGTTATTTCTAGGGTACGGAGGGTCTCGGTATTTGAACTCGCACCGAGGCCCCGTGTAACGTGCCAGTAGAGCTCGACAAAATCTGGAAGCAAAACGCGATTTAGTGTACACGCGTGTCTCCGAGAGGTACCAGCAATGCGCAAGCAATGATACGAAATTGGAACGGCCTACACGTGTTTCCGCGTATTGCTCCCGACGCGTCGAAAGCCATTGCATCGCGGATAGTTCAATTGCATCCCGAGTGCACATACGACAGAAGTGCGCCCAGCGACAGTATTAACGATCCGACGATGCACCGGTTACTAACGAGATTTACGGAATTGCAGCTGGCGTTCTAGGGACGGGAATTTCGGTTACTATTCGTCCTGGGCAATTACGGCGCGGTAACGAGATTGCAAAATCGGTCGCCCGTGGAAAAACGCTCTCGATCACGTTTCGATTGTTATCCTAACGTTACACTTTTCTAGTTTAACCTTATTTATTTTCGAAATCGGTTCAACGTCTCCTCGAGCCGTGACGCGTGTTATCGGGGTCTCGTTACCACTTCTCTGCAATTAGTAAGAATTTTTCGCCCCCTCGTCCTCTCATTGAATCTCCAATTGTACGGTGCACGAGGAGCAATACTCGGAGGAGCGGAATGCACTTCTTGGCCGAACCTGTTAGTCCGCGGGTAAAAATTGGCGTACTTCGTTTACACGTACGACCAAGTACAAATAGAAAAATAAATAGGTACGGCGCTTGTGCGCGTTAACGACGAGTGTCGCGGATGTCCCTTAGGCTCCGGGAGATCGTTGTCCCCTTCGGCTGAGGTAGATCACTCAGAGAATGTGGTCGTGCAATCCGTTAACGAGTCCATCGTTATTCAATGACTTCACCCGAGTGATCTTTTTGTCGGCCGGGCACTTGCTGCCCCCCGACAGGGAGAGCACGATGTTCCTGTTGCTCAGCGAGCTCGAGATCGGTGTCTCTAGGAAGGAGATTTTCTTATCATCGACATTCAAGATCGATCGAAGAAGGTTTTGCACGGATTACAATTACAATACCTTGGGCGGAATGCTTCCTGGCGACATAGCTGCGCATCTTGCCGAACCATCCTTCGCTCAGCCTTTCGCGAAACTTTGGTGTCGTGAAGGTGTAGAGAAGAGGGTTCACGGCGCTGTTCACCGGAAGGATGAAGACTACCACCCACGCGTGAAGGTCGGCTGAAATCAGAACACACCGTGTCACCAGAGACTTTGCCTTCGCGGAATTTTCACGTCCGATTAAACTCCGTAAGGGGGCACGACGAAGCGAGCCGGCGACCAGGTCTTTCGAGAAGGACTTTACAACGTTCGAGACACTTCGGAACCTACCGCGAAGACGGTGGGAAAGAACTAAAAATCACCACTCGGAAAACTACTCACGAGCCACTGGGTAATTCAGTAAGGCCAAAATCTTCAGGGTGATAATCGGTGCCCAACACGCCGCGTCCGTCATGACGATCAGGAAGAACCTCAAGGCGAACTCGGAATCGCCCACCGACAAAGGAGTGGCGTGTCGCGTTCTCCAGATACTAGCAAACATCCCGGCGTAAACGTAGCCGATGATGATCAGTCTGAAATCACGAGAATAATGGAAAGTGTCGACAACGAGTTTGACGAGCACTCGATCCGCGAGACTCACCCTAGTAGATTCAGTCCTAAGAATATGAACGCAGAGTATTGCCACCCTACGAGGTAAGGATCGTCTATGTGTAGAGGGAAACACATTCCGTTGACTCCGTAGAACCTGGTGCTGCTCCGCCAGTGTATAGCTTAAAGAGGCATTAACGCGTGCATTTTTAAGGGCGTTAAATCGAACAGGGCTCGACCGTCTCGATATATCTACCTGGCGTGAGAGCTAAAATAATGCCGATAATCCAAATGACGATCATGGAGGAGGATGCGGCGTGGGGAGTGAGCGCACGGTGTCCCTTAAGTGGAGCAGCAATTAGCATAAATCTCTCCACGGACATGAAAGATAGGATTAGCACCGAAACCTTGAAGAGAAGTCGAACTTCTTGACTCAAAGGAAAGGGAGATATTCGTTACACCCGCGAGGAACGATACCGACCTCGGAGGACGTCATCGCCAGGATCCCGACCACCGTGCAGGACCAGGAGGACATCCACGTGCTGGCCACTTGGTTGTAATTGTCGCGGAATCGGATGTCCTCCACGGCTATGACGAAGAGGTAGATGCCCATCAGCATATCGGAAACTGCAAGGAGCGGTTAACGGCTTATTACCAAGTCGCGTGATTTATGGAGCCCCTAATTATCTGCCGATCCGCTGTCATCGCTCGATGACAACGCGGCGGACTCGCAAAGGAACTGCCGCCGGCTACGACGAGGCGTAATCGCTTAATAGATTTATCTCGGATACACCTCGCCGGTGAAGAGGCATCCGTTACGTTCCTCTCGTGCCGAAGGGCTTGACGTGCACGCGGTGGCACTCCGAGTATTTCTGACCGCTTCCAAGTTAAAGCGCATCCTTGACGAAGTGCAACGGGAATCTCTCTGTCCTCCCTCTTCGTAAATCATCTTTAAACGGAATCGACTGGAGACGACGGGAAAAACTCGCAGTATGAATTTCTTCGATCACCAGGGGGCATTTCTTTACGGGGACCCGGAAATCGTATGCAGCGATACGTGCTGCTACTTGGAGCGAGGATACCTAAACTCGACCTCGTTGACACAGGGATCGTAAAGTGTCCCGAAACGTGTCGGGAAAGAAAACTCACCGGCCAGGTTTCTAATGACAATGCTGAGCACGCGATTCTCATCTTTCGACGTGAATCTTCCCCAGAGCACGAGAGCGTTTCCCAGGAAAGTCACGGAAGATATGCCCCAGACTGCCGCTCGCAGCAGAGGCTTTCCTAGAAGATGCGACAACGAAGACACTCCTGCAAATCGAAATCGAAGATCCAAATTCGGATCCACGAGGGCGTTTCAATTAATCCCGATGAAGTACTTGGCACTTTTAAACGACACTCACCGTCACTGGCTGGCCGACATTTCTGCACTTTGGGCGCGTACGTCGTGCAGTAATGAAATTTCTTAAAGTACCTGAGGGAACGACGCGGTTCGATTAAATTTATCTCACAAAGACCGAAATATTACTTGACCTGAATATTGACTTCGTTACATGAGACTACTTACACAAAGTCCAATTTAGGGAACAAGTCGAACATATTCTCACCGACGTTGTCCATATCGATTTCTTGCAAATCTCTAGAAAATAGTAAATCTTTTTATAACAAGTATCTTAACCGAAAATGGCATGTAATCAATCGTGAAAACTTACAGTGATTGGAGATTTCCCAGGGGACTGAACAACGATATCGGCAGGTTCTCGAACGGATTGTACCCAATTAGTCTACAAATTAAAATTCCAATTTCTAGGGAATATCGCGAAACTCGGGATTCGCGTTTTCATTTCACAGATCGGAAGTCCTGTATCGGTATATGCGGCGGGCAGATTAATTGCAAACAACATTAACGATTAATGCGGTTTTAACGCATTCGAAAAGGGATGACGATCTCCGCGAGAAGAAGAGGGGGAGTGGACAAATAAGGATCAGACCCCGTGTACGTGATATTTTGTCGACCCTTCATGGAAAATTGCCGTGCATGGAGGTGGAATAACGTTCGTAGGAGCACCTACGCCAGTTGCAAACAACGGCCAGCGAGTTGCAAGCACGTAAAGAGCTTAGTGCAGCTGCAGCGACTCTCGATTTGCGCCTTTGAGTACTTACAATTTCGTCAAATTCCCTACGGGCCGGAACACGTGTGGTGGTATCGTTACGAGTTGATTGTGAGCCAAGTTGCTACAAGAAATGGCTCCAATTAATAACCAAGAGAACCTTAACGAGACCACCGTACAATGGAATACCTACAGTTCAGTTAATTCCGCCAAGCTTTGAAACGCATTCGCGTCTATGGTTTGTATATAGTTTCCCTCGAGACTCCTTGAAAATAAATGTTCGTTACATATGTACTCTTTGTTCTTGCACTATTGAAAATAATTACAATATTTTGAACAAAACGGTAAGAGGAAAAAAAAATAGGAAAAATAGGAAGAGAATTCTATACTCCTCTACACGAAATCTCGAAATATAGTATCTTGACTACAGGTATACTACATTTCGAAGAAGTGTTTTTAACTGTGTAATTATTTTTTAAGATTTAATGACAAGAATACGTACAGCGACTTCAACCGAGGTAGTCCGGAAAAGAGACTCTCGGTGATGCTTTCCAATCTGTTCTCATCCAAAAACCTGTATGTATTGAAAATTCGATGCACAGTGAATCATTATATTTTCTATTTCCTCGAGTATTGATATCGCAGGGTAATGAATTGTTCGCTTACAATTGATCCAGTGCGGGTAAAAAGGGTAGTATCAAGCCTGGGGTCGTTAACAGATTCCTGTTCAAGTCGCTGGAAAAAAGAGAGTACATCTAGAAGAAAAAGTATTAGAAAAATAAATAGAAATATTTTGCGCGATTTATTTTCCTTCTCTCGTCGGTTTCGCACGGATTTCCTTTCGATTATTTGCAGACAGGGCTGAGAGAAATCCGAAAACATAAAGTAGATGGAACGGGTAGTGGACGGTGGACACGCGAGACGGTTTTCCACCCTCATCGAATTTCACTCCACCTGATTGCATCGAGAGTATTGAACACCCTCGACATATTTCAATTGCCTGATGAGCCGTGTAAATTAAAACCGCCCGTTTATGCGTGAAATAAAGGCGCCGGCTAGTAGAGAATTGACAACCTTTACACTTACAGAAATTCCAAGGACGTACTATTTTCGAGGTCCGACAGATCGGCAATTTCGATACTATTGTTGTCTGCTTTTAGCAATTCCAGGGATTTCAGGCCGATCAGCTGACCACGAAGTATGGACTCGATCTTATTATTCGAGAGCACTCTGATAAAACAAATAAATACTATCAATCCTCAAATCAATCGAGATTTGTAAAATCAAACGATGGAATAATCGATACTCTACTTACAACCAGTACAGGTGCGTTTGGCTGGAAAAGGTGCCGTAATCCAGAGATACGATGCCATTATTTTGAAGAAATCTAGGAAAGTAAAATTGAAATATATATTGTACAGCAAGTAAACGGAAAGACTGGTCGAGAGGCAGAACTTACAAAAACTGCAGTTCCGTGTATGCTTTGAGCTCTTGAGCTCCCACTTGTGCGAGGGAACTGTTGACCAATGTTCTGTAAAGAAATCGAAAACGAAAGACAATTAACGTCTCGATCTGTAGAGACTAATAACTGATAGAATGGGTTGATTTCATAGGCATAAGCGTTTATGGGTCGACTTTAAACAAATGCATACATCCTGGTGACGCCCCCCGAGAGGTTCGGAGGAATCTTGGTAAATCCTGTGCATGTCACGGTGCAATCCCCGCAGTTGCATCCCCGAGGACAGTTGGAGGAATCTGCAAGGGGAGACTCGAATCGGAAACGATCGATCGCCAGGTCGTTGAACTTAGTCGCATTACCGCATTCTGCCGTCTTCCAGTTTCTTTCTTTGTAGAAGAAGGTCCAGCTGCCGTACAGGTCGGCTGCGAAATAATCCCAAAGTCCTCTCATAAGCTTCGTGCTTTCGCTGTTCTCGTCAAAGAAAAAAAAAACAGAAAAAGAAAAGAAAACCCGCGAACCGAAGTCGTCGTTGGCCCAGATTTCCGGTAACTTTCGGGGGAAGTTCAACGAAAGAACGTTCGCGTTGGATGCATTTAACGGCCAAGTGCATCGGTGCACTTAGCATTCGATTTCAGCTTAAACTCAGGACCCGCGATTGCCGGCAGACCCTCGAGGTCGGATCGGTAGATCGTCTCATTAAACTCGAGTTCGCTTTTTGTGGCAACGGTGCCACACATAAGTTACCGTTGATCTACATTCCCGCGACGAGTCCGTGTGCGTACCTGCCTTACTCGGTGGAGTAAAAAAGCAAGTACAAAGTAAATAACTTGAATACTCACAGCAGTTCAGGAGGGTCTCGTCATCGCCCTCGGGGCAGTCCTTAAATCCGTTACACCAATTTCTTTGGGGGATACACACGGTGCTGTTCCGGCACAAAAACGTGCCCACGGGACATTCGTCTGCGAACATTGCGCAATTTAATGCGACATAATTTAATAGTCGGACATGTGGATGCGAGCACTCGGGACTTAATCGTCCGGGTTCGCCGCTTCCTTTTTTTACCGCCTCGCGCAATTTTTTGAGCCTCCTAAACGGCCAGTTCCCTTCAAGAGGACGACACGGCACCGTTTGCCTCTGCATTTAAAAATTCCCCATAACCCAACCTAAGCTAATTTTCCGTTCTGCTGGAACAATGCCGCAGTTTGTACCCGGGGAATCATCCGTGCTGCCTTTTTTCCCTGCTAACGGATGATTTATTCTCTAATCGTAGACGCGGTTTCGCCACCTATCATTACCGGGCGCTTCGCCGCGATGCCGTTGCATAACGGATAATATTTCGAGGGACGTTAAATGTATTTTGATTTCTTCGGGCTAAGTTACTTCATCCTGAGCCGTGATCTCCGTGGAATTCGCAACGAGGCCGTCACCGATCTTCCGACGAGCCGTCTCACGAATCGAAGGAGCGACACGAGAGACGAGGTCGCTCCTTCGATCGAGTGAGTGACATTTAATTCACACCTACCGACCGTGAGTAATCGAGAAGTCAACTGCTCCTGATTACTCTAGATTCGCCGATGAAGATCGGCACGACCGCGAGTACGCGGCGATTGTCGCAAATTATGCACCCTGCACCCTTCAGCGCGGTGCAACGATGCAACCACGAAGTAGTATAAGGAGGTCTCGCTTAACGCATTCGCGAGCGGCAAATTTTTTCCGTTTCAAATACTGTGTACCGGCGAAAATAATGAAGTTCTGAAATTAGTTGCCGCAAACTTGTATCATTATGGACGTGATTCACGTCAGCAGCAATCAGGAATAGAATTTAAAATGACGTGAATTCACGTCAGCGGCAACCAGGAATAGAACTTGAAAAGACGTGAATTCACGTCAACGGTCGCGAATGTGTTAATAAAAGTAACCCCATAATTCATCGCCACGTTAGCCAGCGATAACACCAGCAACCCTAGAAACTTTCTACGTCCCCAAATTTTTGCAAATGGCCGTCGTACCGTCGACTAAAAAATATCCGATAATCGCAACACATTCATAAATCATCTAGATGGTTATTATTGAACGTCTTACAGATATTGATAAATATAAACGATGAGACCGGTGACGCAAGCCGTGTTTACATACGCTCCATCCATAGGACCACGTTTGACTAATTTTAAACACCGGCAAATTGCATAATCGAGTTGCAAAACTTGCAGGAGAAATTTCTGGAAATACTCAGAAAGTGGGAGCTCCTTATGCTACTTTGGTAGATGCGACGTGCAACTTCTATCTTTCGGCGCTCTCTTCATATCTGACTCTTCGTCAATTTGACGAATTAAAAAATCATTTTCGCAGGTTTCTTGATTTGACCGGTCGCTGCGTCAAGTGCATAGCGAAAAGCGCAACGCGAACGACGACGAAGCTCGTGGAAACCGAGACGAGGGGTTCCTCTGCATTCGAAAGCCGAGCTTCCCTCGTCCACGTGTGCACAGAGAGAATGTAACGTCCACTTATCCTAAGAGCCAAGAAAGTAGGCGTTATTTCCAGCCGCGTGCAATCGCGCGGAGACGGTGGCGGTATTTTCGCTCGCAATAACGCTAATGCCGAGCAATTTTAGGGATAACATTTTAAACGGAGAAAAACATCCCCGTACCTCCATGCGCGTTTAAACATCCAGCCAAGGCAAGGTGAAACAACCATCCGCAGGGAATTATCTTCGTTTACTCGTAATTTGTTGTCCTGGCTTACTCGGACTGCCCGAGCGTTCTGATTGACCAATTGGAACAAGCAACATCTCGTAGAACGAGCTTTGATTGAAAATCGCGATCCAGGACCTTCACAGCAAACCATAAGGAGGGAAATGATTTCCTCCGGTGATATCTCGGGCAGGTTTACGGCGCGTGCATAAAGCGACACATAAAAAGAGATGAAGCTTGGGATAAGCCATAAAGCGAGAAAAGGGGCGAAGAGAAGCAAAGAAGAGCCCGACCCAATGATCCGCACCCTCCACGGGGAAATAATTAAGCTCAAGGAAAATGGGATAAAATATTCGTGTACGAACCTTGATTGAAATAATACATCAAGATCGATAGAATAACAACCACCGTTATCAGAGATACGCCGACGATCGTGATGTGCTTGTGCCTCATGTTTAATGCTCTTTCGTTATTAAAGTTGACCGTGGGCACCCATCGTCGACCACTAGATACCAAAGATGACCGTAGACACCCTTAAAAGTGTCACATTAATTAACGAATCTACCAGAACGTAGTGCAATCCGATAGAGTACGAGGCGTTGTGCCGTGCATCGTATCGAGAGTTATAAAAAATAAATAAAAATATATGTGGAAAATTAAAAATTCCCGATCGGAGACCCTTACGGATGAGGTGCTAGGACAGCTCCTCGACGAACCACGTGGTCGACTCGATCTCGATGCTGCACTCAAACTGTATGACACTGGTTGCATTCGTCCCTGCGTCGGGTGGTAGCTCCAGTCCGCGCACTCGCACTCTTCGTCATTCGAAGGAGCTTCTCTATAGTAGAGATTCGAACGTGGTCTCTCGATCGCCTCATCCCCCGAAGCGATTGATCTACATCTTGCCGCGTATCTTCGCAAATCGGCCGAGTGCCGGTAAACGTCCTTAAGGTGAAGTGAAACACGTCGAGGAACTTGATCGACGTCGATAAAGAAGATTTTTCTAAATGCTTATGTTGCTGACGTTTGTTTTTATATTGACAGCTGTGTCGAATTATATTGGATATTGTACCAAATGGCATACTCCATCTGTCGTTTTTGTACAATAAATATCAAGAAATCGAAGCAAAACTCCAGAAATCCCCTGGATTCATGCTTTCTGGGGCCCTAATTGACTGCAGAGGGACCCCCTGCGCCATCTGTGATTTCCAGGTCAATTAAATTTTCACTCCAAGACCTCGTATTGCCATCGTTTTAGCATAAAGGCGCATACAATACTTTTTTTGCCTTTATCCCGTTCAAATTCAAGTTTATCGATTACCAGTGTTCTAAATTGTCGTAAAATTGTCCTGACCCTTTCGATTCTCATATCAGATCCTTCGATAATTGTATATTGATCGAAATATGAGATCTCGACGTCATTTTGGTTCTGGTCTGGGCTGAGTTAAACAATTTTTTTAAAAAATCCAAATGTTGAACGTGTCAGGACAATTCTTAGATGATCAGAAGTGATGCAGAAAGTTTCGGACAGTTTGGTCTAATACCCTTAAAACAAAGTGTTGTATTCGACTCGACTGATTAGAAGGGGGTTTCACTTCACCTTAAGATTAGCATTTGTCTAGCGGAATACGGCTGGACAGTATGTGAAACGGTACCGAGCACGGCAGTAACGCAGTGCTCGCGATTTAACGTTCCGTTAAAGGCGGCCTTTTTGTTCCGTCCGAACAGATACGCGGTTCCGTTTTACGAGCGTATCATGGTTCACCGAACGATTTACTCGGGGTATACCATTGAACTTGATCCCTCGAGTGTAGAGCACTTGCAAACCTCCCGGCACGAAAGTTTTAGGAGAGGCCAATGCTCGCTTTTTTCACGCTCCAAATCACCACGGAACTTGCGGGAGAGCTGCGCCGACTTTTTGCCCCCCGTTTCTGCGATTCCAGTCGTCTTAAAGAGGGGAAAAGAAGGGAGGATCGGCTCGTTGTCTTTCTCGCTCCGTCCGTTATACATATAGTTAGCGGTTCGGTCCGATCGATAGACGAGTAAAGGGTAAAAGAATGAACAGCCGATGGTATCTGAACGGAATGACGGCACCACGTCCTCCTCGAGCCGACGATCCCGAGCGATCGGTACGTGATCCGCATGTCCGGATGAGTCCCCGATCGTCCGACCGCCCAGACACCCTCGGACCCTCCCCCGGAAATTGGTTAAAGGAAATAAAAGAGAATTTATTTCTTTTTATTCAAAAAGGATACACAGTATACAGTCGACAGTGTACAAATAATAGACGGTTGTGCCGGCGATTAAATAAATAATTCGCACGCATCTTACGGTGATCCGTCTGCGACCTCCTCGCGTTATCTCTAAGTATAATATTAAACCCTCGCTCTGAATCGAAGTGACGTTCTCTATATTATTCACGATAAGCGGATATGGTCGGGCAAAAGATCGCGAACATTGCTAAAATGACTGAACTGGCTCGATACCGTCGAGACGTTTTCCGTTAATCATTTGCTAATTACCGATACTCCCGTTTTTGTCAATCCTCGAACGGAGCAGCTTTCATCTTTATTTCACACTTCCAACGAAATTCCGGCAAAGGTTATAAGAGACTCGTAGAGATGAGGGTTCGGCATTTCAAAGAAACTTGCCACAAGAGAACATTTATGCCCGGAACGGAAATATTTTCTTAAGTAGGTTCTCTATCGAAATATTGCCAATAAAGTGTACTATTACTTTTCAAACGAATGGTTTATTTCTGCTGATTTAACCCCTTAACTTACAATATCGTGTGAGAGACGTGGTATATCAATCGGGCCAAACGTGAACAAAACGTGTGAGAGACGTGGTATATCAATCGGGCCGTAATCGGGTCGTAAACGAAACGTATGAGAGACGCGTGAGACTTTGAACGTTCAGCCAAACCGTGAAATGGCCCGATGTATGACCGACACTTTTGTTGTTTATGGCACGCGCTATTGGAGTTTAAATCGTAAGGCAAGGGGTTAATTGGCCAAGATCGATCCTACTAGCTAATGAGACATTTACGGAATAAATTAAAAGTTTTATTTCTAAAGAATTGACTTCGAAACTTCGCTTTTGGGCTTCGTGAGTGGCAAGTTGTCCATATTATGCCGTCATTTAATTACCACCTTGGACTATTATCGAGAGATAAAAATATGGTTACACTAAGAATGAAATTAGTCACAGGTGCCGTGGAATTATTCGGGCATTTAAACTAAATTCATTTCGTTTCGCTGAAGGATAAATCGATATCATATCGGGAAAGTTCCGAGATTAGTGCAGGATATGTCGTTTAACGAATCAAACGTGTCCCGTTTTTCAGCCAGTAATTTCGGATCCCATAATTGTAACCGTACTTTTTCCAACTGTATACGCCCCGTTTTCCGAATTGCTCCGTTCTACATTTAATGCTGGCATTAAATTTGCAAAACGAAGCAGCTTTCAAACCCAGAATGTTTCGGGACGACAGCTCGAGAACGACTAGCGCGTCTCCCTTGGCTTCCTCGTGTTAGTCGCGTGCATCCATGTACCTCGGTTAACTAAATAATCTAATTATGACATTAACAGTAACAATACGAGTTATAGTATTAAGGGGTGTCTCGTTTCTTAAAATAAATAAACTTGCGCAGAGTATTGCTAAGTGGTGGAGAGAGAGCTGAATCGTAAGCAAACCTGGTACACGACATCCACGAAAATTTACGGAATAATGAGATTTCAATGGAACTCGTTCCTCCAGGACTTTCAACGTACCTACTCAAAGCCACCCGTAATGGTTTAATCGGTGATTCCAATTACGACGAGCTTTGGAGCAATCGACAGCTCGAAGATAGCGAACAATAAATAAGAACATACGAACTGTCAAATTAGTCATTACGTATAAGTCGGCGTACATTTAATAATATACATATCTATAAGCGCGCAAATAGATAGATGATTTTACATACATGACTACTCAAAATATATCCCAGGACGAAACTTAGCGTCCTGATCTAGATTTCCCAATATATTCGTAAACGTGATTTACTCGAGGCAATATATTTCCTACCGAGTTTCCGTCATTTTAAAGAACTTCACCGTCACTCGCGACAGCTGAGAAAGAACGTATTGCACATTGATAACGTGTCTTTCAGTTACGATAATCGCCCCGAGCCGCTAAAGTTTTTGAAAAAAAATGAAAGTATTGTAACTGATAGTCGTTCGCTTTACCCTTAAGTATGAATTTTGCAAGTTAATTACGAGTCAGCTCTGTGTTAAAATAATAGAAAGGGAGAGAAAGATCGTTCGTGGAGGGTAGCAATATCTCGATCATGAAATAAAGATATGTCAATTATTTTCGGAGACCTTCATTGTATGTACATATTACACTTTGGCTCAACGCTTTGCGTACTGCATTAAATGAAAGATTTCTCCCGGCAATAAGCAAAGCATTAAATAATTTCCGCAAGATCTAAACGTTCAATGCGGTAGAACTTGACAATATTAACGACGCAAGCAATAATCGTTCCTATTATACAGAAAATGTATTTGTTAATTTTGATGGTACATAACAAATTACATCTGAAAGAAAGATAAAATCAGTACTGTTTTAAATTATGTAGCCGTTCGTTAAGAAATCACGTAGCAACGTCCCTGTCAACGAATTCGTACGACTTCTGTAAGCTTGACCGCAGTTTGACGATAAGTATATACAAAGAACGAGGTCTTGTTTTTTTACGAAGAAACTAACCGGATGAAAGTTGTAAATATTTTGTAGTGAGAAGGTACTTAAATTTTGAGAGATGAGATAGGTGTAAATTACGCTCCAGCTGGGTCCCTTGCTAATAGAAATAAGGAGATTGCCGAAACCATTGCGTAAAAAGGAAATCATGAAAAATTCTTTGATGTTGTAACTATACGTATATTGAGCATTTTATATAAAAAAAGACTGAGTCAAATAATGTGTTTGATCTGAACGTAACAATTTTCTTCGAGGACTTTAGGAAGAACAGGGTGGAGGTAGAAGCTGAAAGGAACCGAAGGTGTGTCAGATTTATGGAGAAGTCCATTAACAGATGACAAGAGTTATTCGAGTAATCCACGTAACAACGTTGTAACATTGTTTCAAGGTAAAAGCCTGATCCGAACGTGTGAGAAACGAAAAGGCGACTTTATACGAAACTTACTTGTACACCACGACCGCTGAGGGAACAGCCAAGGCTTGTATGTTCCATCTGTAGATCTTCTATTTCACGTTTACATGTGTATACGGTGTACGTAATCTATAAACGGAACATATTATCTTGTTTGCCAGTGTCGATGGTTTCTCATGTACTCGACGTAATAAATACTACACTGCTATAGGGAACTCCGCGTTTCTCCGGAGAAAATGGTTGAGTCTTAACACCTTATCGACTCACCATTATGCCAAACAAACTGAAGTCATCTGTTATAAATAACGCGGATCACGATACTCTTCCTTTATATATTTCCCGTGTTTGATGTTAGTAACCATCGCGGTCGTCCCCGTCAATAAGGTGTTAAAAAGAAGTACTATTAATCGGGTCATTCAAGTGATGTGCTTCGTTGACACCTGTTAGTAATTCTACTTCCAAACTTGTCAACAAAGGTAAGTCGGTATATACGTATATACTTCTCGGCAGACGAATATTCTTTAAAGACCTTATAAATTAACGTTATCGTGTAATTAACGTTTAAGCTTCAACAACTTAGGACTATTTATTCTTGTTTTTGTCAGTTATTCAGGAAAATAATTTGCATTCGGGGTAGAGAATGAGGCTATTCGCGTTCTCGAGCTAGTTTCGAAAGTATTGTAATACTTAATGTAGCAGTAATAGGACCTATATCTTGAAACTACGGTACAACTTATCCTGTTCTCACGTATCGTACACACGCACACGCACACACATACACACACACTATAGTATACATTCAGTCTTTTGATCCGTTCCTTTCCTGCATTTTCATCCGCGAAGACCCTCACCTACCGAAACCTATTAAAATTGCAATTGCTTTGACCGTTACTTCCTGTCTCACTCCCCTAGGTCTCCCTCCCTCCCTAGGTCTCACGAAGAAGGTCATTTGCAAAAGTTCGCTGCAGTTAAGACACAAACTAAACCTTCAAAAGTTCGCGCACCCATTTTGCAATCGCAAAGGCCACCTGAACCCTTCAAGGCCCATGACCCTTACGTAGCTGCCCCAAACCATAGACACTGGCAAAGAATCGTAAAGCATAACCTCTAGCACAAGCGGTCTTCAATAATTCACGATCTGGCCGAATATACTAATATCATCGTGTCGATAACAGAGACGTGTAGTAGTCATAATTAAGTCCATTGAGCAGCTTACACCAGCACGAGTTGCTCTGCTTTTTACGAAACAAAGAACTTACACAATGGGCAGTGGATGATGGTGTGAGGAGTGCTTACGTTCTAGACGACCCAGAAGAGCATCCGTAGATTGGCGCGATGTAACACCTCGTAATAGTCAAGTGCATACGAATCCCTCCTGCACTACTGGAGCATTGCTTGCCGGTGCTTCCTGCAAGGTTTAACAACGGTTTCATTCAGATACAAGTTTATTGAGCTGGCTTTATGAACTTGCAATTAAGTATGTACCCGATTTCTTACGTCTTTAGCCGTTGGTAAGTTGGTCGGTAACTGCTTGTACTCGTCTAAACTAAATCCAGAGTTGCTATCCTCCCCACAAGATTGAACGACTAGGGAACCATCTTCTCCCTAAAAAATGTACACGAGTGTAACGCAACAATTAAAGGATGGTATTGATTTAACTAAATTTCCTTTAAAGTTTGATTCCAAATTTACCTGTGTTATCTGTTGTTCACCGTCGGTGACGCGTCTCTTTTTACCGTTTGCATCAATTTGATCGGATAGTCGTTTCCGATTGGGTATATCGTTTTGAGACTTTGGAGACACTCCACCTCCAGTCCCATTTCCGTTTCCTCCAACATTTCCATTCTTATGTGTACCCCCAGATACCTGTAGAAATAATTTAATGTAAGTTAAACTTAGGTCCTTATTGCATCATTAGTTACTCAGAATCAATATTGCTGATATCAAAAAGTTAAAATAATAGTTTAGATACGTGCCTTCCGTTCCCTTCGTAAAAGGCTTGGTATCACGTAGGCGCTTAAATCCTTTCTCTTAACATGTTTAGCTTCTATCCACATGCCTTCTTTTAACATACTTATTTGTTCGGCTTGCCTTTCGACTGAAAGAAAGTAACATTATTAAAATAATTAAAATGTGCTTAAAAAATTAAGATACAAATGTATTCTTTTTTCCTGGTCTACAAGAGTGGAGAATCTTACTCGTATCGACGAAGGATTTGATGTCGAATGTGAGATCGACATTCAGATTTTCGCTTTTTGCAAATAACAATCCGATGAACCACATCGAACAATGTCTTCCAGATTCCGGGATCAACGGAGGAAATGAATCAGGATTGACATGTGCCAATGTAATGTAAGGATTCCTTTCCAGTGTTCCTGTTTGAAAGAGTTAGGATTGTGCCATTTTGGCATGCGCGCATTATTAGCATTGCAATATAAACAGTTCTCATAAACTATTGCATTGTCATAATTACAATTATCATAGAAAAAAAGGAGTTACTGATCACTAAGTAACGTAAATACAATTCATAAAAATGTATGCCAAACAGCATCAAACGTTACATTTATTTATGGGAAATTTCAATATCCTCGAATAATAAGTAGATATATACGTATTTTCGATAAATATATTTAACAGTGAACTCAGTAGTTTACCTATTAAATGTCGTATTTTTGACTCGACTAGACCACACCATTCAAGCTGATCTTCGGCAGTCAAACTACTCGCCAACAACACTATATAGTGTTTGTATTTGCTAAAGAAGTTTGGCGGCTCAAATAACTTGTCCCACGTTGCTTTTCCCATAATAATTTCTTCTGTTATTGATAAACCCGTTTCAAATGCCTCTTGCATTATTGTTCTCGTTGATACCGAAACGTTGAATGTAGAGTTTTGTTGCGGGTATGCAGGTGTAATTATTGGCATCAAGTGGTACCTGTCTGATACATTTACCTAAACATAATAATGAATTTGAAGAAAAAGCTAGTTATGAGGGAGGAAAAACTATAACTTTAAAAATTTTATGATCCGATTTTAAATAGATACGAACTCGTGGATCCCAGACAGGAAAACCTAAGTTGACGGTGTCAGGTTGTTTAAGAAGAACTGGTTGTGGCCATTTCCACTGGGAGAACACTAGGAAAAATTTCTCTATTAGAGTCGCAGCAACAGCATTTGGGTACAGTTGGCAAGTTCGAGCTACCAGCATTGCCCAAGAAACTCCACCCAGGTAACCTAATACATTGCTATAAATCCCATGTCCTGGAAAGAAAAAACATTTTTTAGAATAGAATAGACATACAATTCAGTGATACAATTGGAATAACCATTGACAACACTTACTTTTTGCCCATAATTTTATCGCTCTTAATGCAAGTCTAAAATTTTCTATATTAGGTACTAAACGTAATATTTCATCGGTCACTCGACAACCATTAAGGCTCCGTACACATTTTTGGTCCAAATTTTTAAGAAGCATGTCATCTTTGAGATCCTACAAATAAAATAAGTAATAAAACTCATACTAATTAGAATATTTAAGTGATATGTCTAGATTATACTTTCTATATTTACCATTGAGTCAGGGATTTCTTTAAGAGCCAATTTTGCAAACAGCATATCTATTTCTATTCCATCGAAATTCATTTTTATAACAGGTACAAAGGCTTCTTCCACTGCCTGAAAGTATTACAATGATTACATGTGAAATGACCTTTACTTTTGATACATCTTCAGAAAGTAAATTCTGTATTCCCATATCCATTTGCTGTAATTAGACTAGTTTAATAAGTAATGTCAATAAAATAGTTCATACCCTTAAATCTGTTACTTCTTGCTGCAACTTCAGTAGTTCGAAGAATGACGTGAAATAGTCTGATCTATATATGTGACGTGGGACGACACACAGAGCATCAATATCCGCTCCCTTATGGTGGACACCTAATCTATACGATCCGAATGTATAAATCTTCCCCCCGACTTGCTCCGCTACATTTGGTGGCATGTTCCTAGCAATACTAGTGTCTCTTATCCATTGTTTAACCAAAGTATTGAGTTTACTGCAATTTTCAATATTTTTCAGCATTTTTATTAATTCTTATATACATTCTATTAAGGATTCAGTCTTTTACATTACAGTTACCTTAAAATTTCCATTCTGTGATTTAATTCTTCCTCCGATTCAAAAACATTATAAGGTTTCAATGCATCTTTCAATTCATTCGTTCTGTTAAGATCGCTCGGTTTTGGTTCCGCTATACTAATAGCAGATGTCATTCCCAGAGTACGTAAATTCTGCATTGTGTTTGGCGGGGTACTCCCAGTGGAGTTACTCCCTTGTGACGACCACATCTTAACGCTGAATAGATAATTCTAAATCTAAAAAACATATAAGAAATTCAATGAAACAATATAACACAATGCTTCTAAATCAAAATATCGTATCTTAGTCCCTTGTTAATTGAAATTAATATTAAATCCTACAATGACAAAGCTTAAATTTAATTATGGTCTTGTATACACAAATGCTTTAACCGACAATTCACAGCATCTCAATAAATCGATATAATATTCAAAGCTCAACATTACTAATTGAAAACAAAAACTACGTACATGTTTATAAAGCCTATTGCTTCACAAGGTAAATGCAACAATTGTAACAAAGTACAAGTGTTTTAAATATGCCGAACATACAACCAAGTCTATGGTGTCGAACAACAAAGCCCAGTTAGGTGGTGAGTCGGATGCACATGTAAAATGTGAATCGTAAGATCTCACCCAAGCCTCTGGGAAACTACCATGCTCACAAGGTAAAATTGAATCATACCACTTGATACTCTGTCAAAGACGCAATGACATGATAACAGAGAAGCCTCGTCCGCGTTGTCAGGTTATAAAAACGGACAAAGGCTAGTTCCCCACTATCGCAGAAATCCTCGTCGACTTGCAGCAACTCTCCGACGTAATCTATAATCCTGTACTCTAAAACGTAGTTCTTAAGGTTACAGCCTAGACGCAAGACAGCATGAGGGATTTGTAAACAAATTACGAAGCGAAAGAAGTTCAGAGAACGAGTGTCCGTAAACCCCGTATTTCCCGATCATCGAACGAGGCGTCGATTACTGTCACGTTCGCGTCACGTTCACCACGGCGGTACGGGAATACGGGCAGGTTTCGCGAATCCCCCTGAAATTCGGCAAATAAATAATTAAGGGATATCACTCGAAAATAACGAAATCACACGTACATTCACACCGCACCACCTACGATATATACATGGCTGAAGATGGCGTCCTCTGACGGCTCGCCGTGGCCATGAAGAACAGGTTCATTGGCTGACGAAGGCGAAGCTTGGGACAATCTCCCCGGCTAGCCGCCTCTTCTGGCAACGCTTCTCTCACAGAGGGGAACTAGGTAAGAGACTTCCACGCCTCGCTTATGCACACGATAGCTGCGTGTCTTTGTCACACTTACGACCACAGTCGAGAGAAGAGTGAGAGCGTAGGTCTCCTGGTACGCGGAGTGGGGATTCACATAAGACAACGACGGTTCAAGGCGTTCAAAGCCAGTCGGCTAAGAGCAGAGAGTAACTGAGATAGGTTGGCAGTTTGCTCACGGGCAGGGTCGCGCGGCGCTTCCTGTGCTGCCCCCCAGTGGAAGATGCGGACAGCTAACGTACTTGCCACCTGTTACCCCTCAGTGGCGGGGTAAGTGCGTTGGTCGTCCGCATCTTCCACCGGGGGCAGCACTGGACGCGATTGCACGACCCTGCCCGTAAGCAATCTCCCAACTCATCTCTGAAAGTAACGGAGAGGGCCATGCCCTGTGTTTTGCATATACCGAGAGCCACTGACACCTGGCGGCTCTTTGTTGAAATTCTTCTGCACATTACAGGTTCAAACGTGATCTACAAATTTGGGGATGGACGGGACTTTACCACATATGAATAAAGTAGTGAAAAGTGGAAAGTTCGTATATGCTTTACCAGAGGGTACGAATGGATTGTGAGAGATATAATATATTAAATAAGATTGAAAAAGTATATTTTCCTCTACGAGGTGGTAGGCATATTTCTCATCATATTTTAGTGAAATCTAAAGATCTATTAAAACTTTAAGTGAGAAAAGAAGTCGGGATATTATCTAAATTGATAAAAACCTCCGTAGCAATTCTAACACGTTCTTTGCAACGAGACGAAATTAAAAGACGTTTAAAAGGGGGTAAGAAACAGGAAGATGTTCATCGTATTTCTGTTAATGTTTTCATTGTTTTCCCATTTTCCTCCATCATACTACATATCTATACATACGCGGTAAAAATAGTAGTTTATCGTATCTCATTATCCTAACATTTATATGCTTCCAATGTTAATCGAAATGATGTTGGTTTTTATTGAATTGAAAGCCGAATTAAATATCATCCCGATACTTTACAAATTTAGGAAATAATTTAACCCAACTGAACCAAAGGTCTGTCGTTCACCTTGACAGTTTATTGCATACATTGTGCCAGTATAGAAATATTATACAAACCCGAGAATGTTTAAACAAATTCGGTAACACTAGGTCTAAGCATTCTGTGACATATACGTACAAGAGAGCGGCATACAACAAATCTATACAACACCTGAAATGCGAATCGTGCGCACGTGATACGTATCCTTTGTTGAATTGGTATTAGCTATTACTATAATGGGAGTATTACATATTTACAATTAATGTGTTCTTCGCGACTCGCACGCTTTGGTATTAAACACGGAATATCGTACGTATATAACATTTCTTACAGTTCGAAGGAGACACGATTTACGGCTTCGTCGGCAACATAGTATTAATGGTACAACGTCGGCATCGATGCGTCTCGTATTATTTATAATATTATTCCTCGAGCCTGAGGGCAATCGACCGTTCTCCTTCGGCAGAACTTACTTCTGAGCCCATTTTATGTACATTAGCCACGAAGTATTACATGCTTTCTCGTTTGCACCAGATGTAGCCAAGCCGTGTTTTCCTTTGTTAAAAAACACTCGGTACGGCGATCATTCTAATGTTAAAATCCTAATACGCATAAATCGATAAGCCAGATATTACGAAAATAATTCCCTCGCTAGTTTCGGCTAAACTCCGCGCTGTCCAGCTGGTCGAATTTTTTGGATGTTATCTTAATCCCTCTATTGACGCATTCTGTATATCGCGAGAAATCACTGAACGATAAATGTCAATGTTTTGATAAATGCTTTCTATTTCCATCATCTCTAAGTATTTAATTTTTGATAACGTCGGCCCGTGTCAAAGGCGTTTACGCCGAACAATCCGAGTCAAACGCACGTAATCGACTATGACACTTACACGTACGCAAGAAAACGCAACGAGGTCTCAAATAAAATCATTCTACCAATCTCACCGAAACGGAGTTAAACGTAACGCGAAACGTGATAACGAGTTAAATTATTAAAAACTTGCGTCGGAATATTCGAAGTACCGCGCGGTCGACTCTCGAGCTACCACCTCGAGGACATTTTCACATTTACACCGCCAACAATTGTTCCATACGGAGATACGCTTACCTCGAAGCGCTTTTCCGAGTGCATTAAAATTGGACTATTCCTTTCTCGCGAGAAACATACAACGCGAGTACAGGGGAACCTACTCGGCCATTGACTTCCCTGTTTAGGGAACGCAACTAATAACGGAGCTAACGAAACGCGTAATGTAACGTTACACATAGAATGATCCCTGCAACGACGGACGGTGCCTCCGCAGCCGGTTTCCTTCGATCCCTTAAGAGTCGCAAACGCGAGCCTCGCGATCAGGGCACTATAAAGGGCGTTGGTGGTATCAAGGGAGATTTGTATGTACACTGGAGATTGAGCGGATGACACTATGGACTTCCCGTGTCGTGGTGCAGAGAGTCGTTGTCGCTTTCAAGGTAGGTCACGTAACTGTCCGTACTGTCGGGATGCTGGCCCATGTCGGGACCTCCTCCGCTGCCAGGATGGTGAGCTCCAGGAGGCGGCAAAGGACCTCCGCCACCGCCATCGTTCATGGGACCTCCGAGCATCCCAGGAGGTGGGAGCTGAGACGGAGGGCCGCCGTGTAAGTCGTATCCGTGCATCTGAAATCACAAATATCGATTTCCCCCGATAACGCATACCGTCTCTTCCGCTTTCTATTAGACCGAACGTTACCACTCGGATGACACGAAGGGAAAGAAATTAAGAAGAGGACGTCTTTGAATACCTGAGAGACCAGATGATGAAACGGCGGCGCGCTGGGATCGAGTCTGTCCAGGTCCGTGTGCAGCGCAAAGTCCGTCAGGGCTTTCCAGGGTGGTTGGTAGGCTTGGACCTCCATCGGCGTCATGCCGATGGGGCTCTCGTGGCGAACGGGGCTGCTGGCTACCATGGGGATCCCGTGCATTCCCCCGAAACCGAGTTTTCGCCCGTCCTGCAACGGGAAGTACTTCGGACCGTTAGATCTCGAGTGATCCAGGACGCAAAAGGATTCGACTGTCATGTCGGTAACGATCGTCTACTCGCGGACCCTTGTCTCTCCGACAAGAGTCCGCCGACCTCGCGGGTACTCGTATCGATTTGCTACCTTTTCTTGCTGCATCTGCTGCTTCATGGCGATGGTCTTCTTCTTGTCCTTGCACCTTTTGTTCTGGAACCAGACCCTGATGACCCGTGGACTCAGGCCGGTCATCTCGACGAGCTGCTCCTTCATGAGAGCGTCGGGCCGCGGGTTGGCGGAGTAGCAGGTCCTCAGGGTGTGCAGCTGCTTCTCGTTGAGGACGGTACGCACCCTCGTCGGCTTTCCATCGGAACCGCCGCCTCCCTTGTGTCCTCCGGAGCCCCGCGGTCCGCCGACGCCCGCCTTGTGGGAGCCGCTTTCCGATCCGGAATCTACGCACGCGTCAATTTCGGTTCAATCGAGCCACTACGACGGTTCGATGCCACGACCACGAAACGGTATGAAACGTAACGCCTACGACCATTATCCCAAAATCGGAACCCTTTGATCTCGGATTTTCGCTGATCTAACTTACTATACTTAAGATAAATGTAATCATTCCGATACCACGTAGCCGAAAGCATTCCCCATCGATATAACTACCCTAAAACTCTTTCAAGGTGATGTGAAAGATGCGTCAAAGGGGTATCATCTATTACTTTCTCCTAACCGGGTGTACCGAATTGTCTCAAACTTGACAATGTGAATATGGAGGCTATAAGGAAGGTCCAAAAATCCATGAAATTTCAATTTTAAGATAATTTGTTTATAGCTATTTTCAACAATTTTAATAGGAAATGAAATTTCGCGAGTTTCAGGACCTAATTTCGGGTCTCCTTATTCATGTAGTAAAATTTGAAACCGCGACGAGCTTCTCTGGGCAAACTCGGCCCTAGATCGGTGAGATTCAGAAGGCCTTGGACCCCTAACGTGGGCCCGATTTCGCTCATGCTACGTCAATACACCGTAGACGGCATTTTATAGATTCACGGTGAGGATTCCAGGAGTCGACGCGACGGTCGCGACCGGCTTCTCCGGGTAAACTCGGAAAGAAGTCCAGGCACGGGCGGAGGCGAAAATAAAAGCAAGTTCGTAAAACCTCTCGGCCAAGAGCTGGCCGAGCGCGGCTTTTTTACCGGCGGTGAGGACAGAGGCCTAACCGAGGGAGCAAATGAAATCCAGCGCCTATTTTCCCGTCCTAACCAAACAGCGGTATCGTGGACCTCGAAAGCCAAGGGAAGAGGGACACCTCGTGGCCTGGCCTCCGGTCGAGAACGGGCCACGACGATACGGAGATGGCTCGCTCCCAGGGAACCTAGGAGAACACTAGACTCAAGTGGAGCCTGCGGAATCCGAACTGCTTCGGCTTATTGGTACCGTGCATCCGCGTTGAGCACGTAAAGCGGCCCGAAGGCGGACTCTTTGAGGGTCGCGAGGACGCGCTTTGATGTCGCGCCGCTCTCCCGGTACATGCGCGAGTCGCGATAGGCGGTTCGATAATCGGGAGCTATCTCGCGAGGTTGGGCAATGCCCGAAGGGACTCGGTGATGTCTCGAGGTACCTATCGACAAGGTACGGACGTTTCCGCTTAACGTCGTTTCTTCGAGTCCCGTCATCGATAACGGCTCTCGTCTCTCTTTAGTGGCTTCACGGTGCCGAATCGGCCTCGAGTCACTCCTTAATCGGAAATTGGATAATTGGGACTCAACGTCGTCATATCATAAATCTATAAAAAATATATATCTCTCTTTTCCAGATACAGATCCACAGTTTTTCTTTTCTTTATGCCACGATGAGATTGAATCAAAAAGACCCAATTCCCGGTTAATGGCTAACGCCTTCGCGCGGGGAAGGTTGTTATACTTTATTTCGAAATCCGTAATCGAGGGATGACACGTAGTCCTACGTCGTTTCAATAACCCTGCGGCCTTCGACTGTAAGGGTCTGAAAATTGTACGCGGTGTTCGAGTAGCGGTTTCACTCGCAAATCGCTCTCTGAGAATATGTTAGGACCGATTCTAATGTGTTCCGTGACGTGCCCGTGACGGATAGATGTATTAATGGAAATGACGCCTTCTTGGATTTAAATTGGGATATGCATACAATTCTGTATCAGTTCTGGGTCGGTGCCGATACGGAAATGTACGAATACTCGACACAAATCGAAAAGGGCGTTATTGCAATCGGTGCTGGGATACGTCACGGACAAGACAGCAGGGGCGGTCTTGTAAATTGATAAGAATGTAGAAGAAGTACAAGACCACCCTTAATACCAAGACCTGACCATAATTGCAAGACCAAGTCTCGACCGAGCAAGGTCGAAACCGAGCCCAAGACCACGGTAGTCCGGTCTTGGTCCTGCGTTTGCTCATCGCTACACGGTACGGATATGGTCGGATCGACTTCTACCTCCCCCCCTGCCTCAAAGTCCGACGATCGGTCATTACGGAGAGTCGTAAACTCGGCGAGACCGTTCCGATAGCGCTTGGCAGAGTTCGGCGAGCAAATTTCCTCGTCTCGGTGGGCCGATTCGGCGAGCGGCCGACCTTCGCCGGCTTTAATCTTAGCGGCCAGGACGGATGATCCGCATGCTCGGGCACGATCTCCCGCACTAATGCGGGATACGAAATAAAGGAGGAAAAAAGTCGTGCGTCGCTGTGTGCGACGGTAGTTGGCAGGGTGGTGTTACATTTGACACCTCTCCCGCCGTGATAACCCGTCAAACCACTACTGGTCATCGTCGAGCGCGGACGCGGCGTCGGCTCTCCGCCGCCGTGGCCGAGGAGCGACGCCGGGACGTCCACTTGCCAGGTCGCGAAATCGGGCTAATCCTGTCAACGAGCAACGCCGATCCGCGTTGCCCAAAGAAACGGCGGAGTCGGCCCTTCGCCGCCCACGACGACGGTTGTTACGCCCGGCTTTTCGAGCGGCGTCGCGACGACCACGCGGACGCGCACCTTTTTGCAGGAGTGTCCAAACGAATTACGATTAATCTTACTAATTGACCGACACGACGGCGACTCGCGGGCGTCCCACGGGAGGATGAATTACCGCCGGCGTCGTTTCGACTCCGTCTACCAACGCGTGTACACGGTGTTGTCCCCGACGTCGACGTCGACGTCGAGCCGGGCACCGCCGCCGACCCCGCGGAGGCGAAATCTCCTCGCGGATTGCTCGAACTTCGCGCGCGAACAAATCTAAGGGTCCGGGAGCATTAGGGCAATCCCGACAATGGCGAGCCATGGGGCCCGTGGAGTTTCGCTAGGGGAAATATGGAATTGCTCGAGTGGACGTCCGGGTCGCGTGTCTTCGTGGATAGGGTTAAGCCCACGAAAGCCAGGGGGCGAGCGAGGGTGCCGGTCAAGCCTCGGCGTAATAACTTCAATTATCAGCGCCTAATCGAGCCCGCTGATCCTAACGTAACGGGGCGAGGTCGGGACTTCTCTTTGTGCCCCGGGCCGGACCTTGCAAATTGGCCATTGCCGTTTGACACCGTAATCCTTGAATAATAATATCATCGGCTTCGCGAGGTGCGAAGTGGCGGGGACCGCCTTTGCAATTATAATCCGCCGACCGAGAAACGTGACCGATCTCGGGGATTCGCCGGCCTAGAGGGCCAAAGTGAGATGACCGAGCTGGACAAGTCGATGGAATTGGAACGCGAATGACCTCTTCTAGAATTTAAGTCCGATTCGACCGGAGCACGAGCTCCGATTCGTTTATAACTACGTGGTCGGTCTAGGTTCCTGGTGTATTAATTCGGTCACTGCTATATAAAGACCGACGGTGACGGAAATAAATTTACGAAGGGACCCACCCGACATCGAGCCGTCGTTTGGATGCAAATGATGGTTGTTGTTCGTGAGGGAGGCATTGTTGTTGTTTTCGCTGCCGGGGACGCCTCCGGGGCCGGAACACAAATTGCTGGCCTCGATGACGTCGTGGTCGTGCCTTCTGCAGAAGAGTCCGTCCTGTCTCAGCGCGAACACGTCCCCGGGTACCAGTTGACTCAGGCAAGCCGAACACCGGAAGCAGTCGAGGTGGTAGATTTTGCTCTTGGCCCTCATCACGAAGTCGTTCTTGCTAAAGGACAGGCTGCACTTGTCGCACTTCGTTCCGAAGAGTCTGAAACCAAGCGTAAACGTTCAATCCGAGAAGGCGATTTATAACCTCTGGCAAAAATTCCTTCGTCCCAACGAGATCTCGACGAGGTACTCGCAACGTAATCCCGATAGAGCCAACTTTCGAAATACTTTCCCGAGAATCTTTTTTCTTTCGAGATTCAGGGTTCTTAAGGTGAAGTGAAACACGTCGAGGAACTTGATCAACGTCGATAAAGAAGATTTTTCTAAATGCCTACGTTGCCGGCGTTCGTTTTTACATTGACAGCTGTATCGAATTATATTGGGTATTGTCCCAAATGGCATACTCCACCTGTCGTTTTCGTATAATAATTATAAAGAAATCGAAGTAAAACTCCAGAAATCCTCTGGATTCATGCTTTCTGGGGCCCTAATTGACTGCAGTGGTACCCCCTGCGCCATTTCTGATTTCCAGGTCAATTAAATTTTCACTCCAAGGCCTCGTATTCCCATCGTTTTGGCATAAAACCGCATATAACACTTTTTTTGCATTTATCCCGTTCAAATACGAGTTTATCGATTACCAGAGTGTTCTAAATTGTCGTAAAATTGTCCTGACCCTTTCGATCCTCATATCAGCGCCTTCGATAATTGTATATTTATCGAAATATGAGAGTTCGACGCCATTTTGATTCTGGTCTGGGCTGAGTAAATCAATTTTGTTAAAAAATCGAAATTTTGAATGTGTCAGGATAATTCTTAGATGATCAGGAGTGATGTGCCAAAGTTTCGGACAGTTCGGTCTAATACCCTTAAAAAAAATTGTTGTATTCGAATCGACTGATTTGAAGGGGGTTTCACTTCACCTTAACGCCACGGTGGCTGTGGACGTTCCTTTTAATCGTTGACATTCCGAGGAGCCGAAGAAATCGTGGTCGAGCCGTTGCGGGCTTCCGCAAACGTCACAAAGTTGACAGGAATAATGATTTCGAGCCGACAGGTGATGAAATATTTGTTCTTCAGGGGGAACGCGATATCGCGTATGCAAAAAGGGTGCAAAGACGCAGGGAAGATCGGCAGCGGCACTCATTACCACGGAGGTGTTAATAGCTGCTTAACGTGTAATTAGGTACTCCACATTTACAGTGGTGTCGCAACGGTACAAGGTGTAATTACGCATCGCGTGCGTTGGTGCGCCGGCGCTCATAAAAGCAGCGTTAATTTCTGCAGGATTGCCACATTCATAAATAATAGCGTTGCGGATCGATCGCGTCCGGCATTGCGCTTCGTTAAACAAAGTATACAAGGAACGGCTTTGTAACCTTTCCGCGAGCCCTGGTCGCGGCTGGAGTACGGTAATTCTTCTTCAAATATTGGGAAATAATGGGTGCCGCTATCTAAGTCAATGCGTGGCGTGATTTTTCAGAACCGGCTCGATCGTCTCATCGAATCGAGTGGAACATTTCGAAAACGTTGCATACGCCGATCCGCCTTACCGGTCTGACCAGTTTCGTTTTTTCGGATTTCCATCGATAAAAAACGCATCGAGAGATCCCGAGAAGGAGAGGCTAATTAAACTTCGGTATACGATCCAGTAAATAATTGTACATCGCGAGAAGGCCATTACGCAAATGTATCATTAAGTGTTCCACAGAATTTGACAGCAGGATGCATTTGAAACCACGTGGAACAACAGCACGCGGTTACGAACAGTGAGCCTTGAAGAACGTTCCGCAAGAAACGAGAGACTGGATCCGATAGATTCGGCATTTATCGCCCCAAATCCAATATTTACGAAAAGTGAATGCACTCTTTAAAGACTAAAAATACCATCTAGCAAAAATAGTAGGTCTTGCGGGGGGGGGATATATTTGAAAATGTATACCCTGGGAGGAACGGGCTGCTTAAGTTCGAACTCGTGCATCGATAATTCAACTCCTCGATTTCTTGTCACTTCGCGGTACACGTAATTCATGCTAATTGGGGGTTGGTGATCGAGTGTTCGGCGAAAAATAGATGCCTACTCCCGGGTTCACCCGGGGTGGTTCCAGGATGACCTCTTCCGAGTAACCTCTGTTTTTTAGGAAAAGGAACCAAGGCAATCTACGCGTTAACACGATCCAACTAGAGGATTTTACGAGCCTGGCCGACAAATCGGGACGACAATGAATTTAATCGGGACCAATGAGATCCAAGATCTCCGGCAGACTACCCGAGGATAGAACACGTGGGCGGGAGGAACACCCACGCCGCACCAGGAGACCCGGGACCCCAGTGGTTCGGACTTTTTGACTCGACGTGACAGGAACAACAAGCGCTTGTCCACGTCAGTCAAGGCTCTGCTCGCGTTTTAGGGATCCCGGAGGACGGGCCGGAAACGCTTGTCTCGCCTCCTTGCCGTTGGGATTTCGAGGGACCTTCGAATACGGATCGGTCCAAATAAACACCACGTCCAGCACGCTTTAGCGAGGAAAAACAGCCATCGAGTTGCTCGGCCTGATCGATGGCTCATTCGCGAAGACTCGTTCCAGGGAGGGCCTCCAACTGCATGCGGCAGAACCATTCAAATGTCGAGGAATCGAGGATCCGCCTCTGCGCCGAGACATTGGACTCCTAACAATTATGAACGAAAAGATAAATGAAAAATCAAATGATTAAAAGTACACGCGTGGATCTAGGACATCTACGAAACATGCACCTTAGCCTTCACGTATTCGAACTTATGAATTTATCTGAGAGATTTCGTCGGGATGGAAAGCGTTGCTGCACGCGGCGAACTCATTTAAATGTCAAGGAATCGAGGATCCGCCTCTGCGCCGAGACATTGGACTCCTAACAATTATGAACGAAAAAATAAATGAAAAATCAAATGATTAAAAGTACACGCGTGGATCTAGGACATCTACGAAACTTGCACCTTAGCCTTCACGTATTTGAACTTATGAATTTATCTGAGACATTTCGTCGGGATGGAAAGCATTGCTGCATGCGGCGAACTCATTTAAATGTCGAGGAATCGAGGATCCGCCTCTACGCCGAGACATTGGACTCCTAACAATTATGAACGAAAAGATAAATGAAAAATGAAATGATTAAAAGTACACGCGTGGATCTAGGACATCTACGAAACTTGCACCTTAGCCTTCACGTATTCGAACTTATGAATTTATCTGAGAGATTTCGTCGGGATGGAAAGCATTGCTGCATGCGGCGAACTCATTTAAATGTCAAGGAATCGAGGATCCACCTCTGCGCCGAGACATTGGACTCTTAAGAATTGTGAACGAAAAGATAAATGAAAAATCAAATGATTAGAAATACACGCATAGATCTAGGACATCTACGGAACTTGCGCCTAAGCCTTCACGTATACGAGCTCATGAATTTATCTGAGACATTTCGTCGGGATGGAAAGCATCGCTGCATGCGGCGAACTCATTCAATTGTGAAGGAATCAAGGATTCTCCTCTGCGCCAGAACTGCACATAGAGTCCTAAGAATTTCGAAAGTAATTTAAATTGAACTAAAAGTGAAATTACTATAAAATTTCAAATATGGGTCATACGTCTTCAGGATCTCGAGCGCAGGGATTTATTAACACATACGCGATCGGCAAATTTTTTCCGTTTCAAATACTGAGTACCGGCGACAATAATGAAATTCTGAAACTGGTTGCCGCAAACTTGTATCGTTATGGACGTGAATTCACGTCAGCGGCAACCAGGAATAAAACTTGAAAAGACGTGAATTCACGTCAGCGGTCGCGGATGTGTTAAAGACTTCTTCGGGGTGGAAAATATGAAAACCACGGAAAGCACTAGTGTATCGACGAACCCATTCGGACGTCGAGGATTCGAGAATCCGCCATTTCACCGGGAGTATGTCGTAGACACTTCTAAGAATTTCGAATATAAAAATAAAAGCGACATTATTATTAAAAATACACGCGTAAATCTAAGACGTTTGCGAAACTTCCGCCCAAGCTTCCACGATTTCGAGCTGAAGGATTTATCCGAGACTTCTCGTCGGGATGGAAATAATTCCGTCAAGTTTGACTTCTCTATTTCCGACCTCCATTTCTGATCTGTACCTGTACTCACCTGACGTAGTCGCGTTTACAATAGGTCTTCCCGTCTCTCACGAAACAGGTGCACCTTTCATCGAGGAACTGCTGACATTCGGTGCACTTTAGGCACGCCGCATGCCATTCCAGATCGGGTGCTACCCTCAAAATGTACTGATCATTGATGGGATCCCCGCATCCGACGCACAGCGAGCTCCGACCCTCTGAAACGAAAACCACCAATCGTCACAAAAAGACCCACATAATCCAATGGTCAAGATTGCAACGCCAAGTCAATTCCGCGTACATAGTTCCCCATAACAAAAATTCCCACCTCGAAAGAAAAAAAAAAATCACCGATGATAAGATCAATTTCAAAGCCCGTTCTAAAACCCGCAGATGCTTTCGCGATATCATCTAATGACAATTAGTCATATCGCAAAGAGGAGGGCCTTTTTATTTTCTAATGCCGAAACCCCGTTGTCGACAAAATCCGAAGATTCGTTATCGCTAAGAATTGTCCGTAGCTCGTTATCTGGCCGGTACCTTCAAAGCCCCGAATTATCGGCAAGAATCCTCCAAATACGAGATCCACATTCGATCGAGTTAATCGATCGCAAATCCAATCGATTCAAAGCAAGTTAAGGGGATTTGAAAGTGGCATCCGAAGAGTGAATCGCACGTGAAACTTTTCTCCGACCTGGGCGTGCCGAATCGTTCCAAACTTTACAACGTAAACGTGGAGGCTACAAGAAAGCTCCTGACCCTCGTGAAATTTCATTTTTGATAAACACTTTTGAACGTATCTATAAAGAAATTGTTCAAAAATTAAAATTTCATTAGTTTCGAGACCTTCCTCGTACCCTGCATTTTTCTACTGGAAATTTTGAATCGATTCGGTACACCCAGTTTGGATGAAAGTTTCATGAACAAGATCTCTTCGACGCCACTTTCATATCGCCTTAAATGATCGACGGTGCTCTATCCACGAGGCCATGTGTGACGTCCCTAAAGCTAGCAGCGCCACGTCAGCATAACCACATAAATCAAACACCAAAATTTATTGCCTTTGTATTGCTTATTTATTACACAAATTTGAATTTTATTGCTTAAGCCGTTTTCAAAAAATCAGTAGCTATGCCAGCTTTAACATTAAGCTGGCGGCGCCACCTGACATTTTCTGTGAAATTAAAAAAATAAGTGGTGCAAACTGTAGGAAAAATGTATTGCTTATTTATTGCTCAATTTACAAGGAATGACAGGCAGTTCACGTATATGAGAAGGGGGTAGTTTTTGGTTTAAGGGGTGGAGCAATAAATTCTGCCATAGAGTGCAGGATTTTATTGCTTGACCCGAGAAGCAATTTTAGTTTTTAAAAATGTATTGATTCCAGTTAGGAAGGACAGGCAGTCCACGTATATGTGGAGGGGGTAGTTTTTGAACTCAAGGGGTGGAACAGTGAAATTGTAAATTGAGCAATAGATAAGCAATAAATTTTTCCTACATTTTGCACCACTTATTTTTTTAATTTCACACAAAACGTCAGGTGGCGCTGCCAGCATAATGTTAGAGCTGGCATAGCCACTGATATTTTGAAAACGGCTTGAGCAATAAAATTCAAATTTGTGTAATAAATAAGCAATAAAAAAGCAATACATTTTGGTGTATGATTTATGCGGTTATGCTGACTTGGCGTTGTTAGCTTTAGGGACGTACTAGGAACGGCAACTCCGCGTCTCGAGGGTCCGAGTAGGTGAAAATCCCGCAAAGGGACGCTCGGCGTTGCCTCCTGTGAGCGAGGAGGCGTTCGCAATCGCGACGTCACCAGCTCGGATAAATACCCGACTGCTTGTGCATTAGCGTTAGGTACTCGTACCTAGGAGGTACGGAGGTACGGATTGCCGGAACCGCGGCCTCGCGCACGCAACGTTCCCTCTCGAGAGAGGTTATGGTAGGTGTGTTCGTAGGCGGAGCGTCCGAGTTGTTCCGCACATTCGACTTCGGCCAGCACCGCCCACATCGGCGAAGCTGCATCCTCGAGAGCGTCATGCGCAGACATGTGCTCCTCTGCGCGCGCATTCCCACATACTCGCGCAGGGAGAGCCTCGAGGCGTAGGCACGCACTTGCCCCGTGCGACGCACGACCGAGCCCTCGCGAATCGAAATCCACGACCCATTAGGGTCGGGACATAAATCACGGTTTAACAAGAAAAGAAAAGAAAAGAAAAAAGAAAGTCGAGTAAAGCCGTAGAACGTCCCTCGAAGCCTACCTATCCGGGTAGATATTAAATGGTAGTAATAGATAAGATATAAAATAAGTAGCCGAAGATGCTCCGTACGTGACGTCACGCGGTTACTATTAAAGCGCTTACATAGTCTCGAGACCGCCGTTTAACGTCCGCAAGTAGACATGTTCGACGTGGAAACCGACGTCATTTAAAGCCAGTCGGCGCGATAAAGAGGGAATAAACAAGGAGCATAGACGCCGATGCGTCAAGAGGCCGAATTATCCGGAATTATCTCGCGATCTTTCCTCGTCCCCCTGGCAATAAAATTCCTCCGGGTAAGTAGCGACCCTGGCAGCGATCGGCCAGCTGACCTCCCGGAGGTTCCGGTCGGGTCGCGAGACGATCGGCGACCACCGTGGGCATTTTTGACTCCGGGATAAGTGGATGCAACGGAGAAACAAGGACGAGACCCGAGGCGAGGGCAAGGCCGGTCGGGATCAAAGGAGGACCCCGAGCGAGAGTGTTAGCGGCATCCCATTAGCTCCCAACGACACCGCCACCTCGCCTCGTATCTCCGCGCGACGCGACCCGCCGGACGAGTCGCGCGCAGTGCCGTACCACCAGAGGGCGCTGCGGCGTCGGACTCGCGCGCGATCGCAACGCCGCCGGGCGGAAGTTACTTCCCAACGTGGACGGATTGAGCGTAAAGTGAGATTTTCAATGAAATATACTGTAAACTTGGACGCTCGTCAGCGCAGCCCGCGTTTGTACAGTCCAATTACAAATTAAGGTGAAGTGAAACGCGTCGAGGAACTTGATCGACGTCGATAAAGAAGATTTTTCTAAATGCCTACGATGCCGACGTTCGTTTTTATATCGACAGCTGTATCGAATTATATTGGATATTGTACCAAATGGCATACTCCACTTGTCGTTTTCGTACAATAATTATAAAGAAATCGAAGTAAAACTCCAGAAATCCTCTGGATACATGCTTTCTGGGGCCCTAATTGACTGCAGAGGGACCCCCTGCGCCATCTGTAATTTCCAGGTTAATTAAATTTTCACTCCGAGACCTCGTATTCCCATCGTTTTGGCATAGAACCGCATACAACACTTTTTTTGCCTTTATCCCGTTCAAATGCGAGTTTATCGATTACCAGAGTGTTCTAAATTGTCGTAAAATTGTCTCGACCCTTTCGATTCTCATGTCAGAGCCTTCGATAATTGTATATTGATCGAAATATGAGGGCCCGACGCCATTTTGATTCTGATCTGGGCTGAGGGGAAAAAAGGAGTGATGTGTCAATGTTTCGGACAGTTCGGTCTAATACCCTTAAAAAAAAATGTTGTATTCGAATCGACTGATTTGAAGGGGGTTTCACTTCACCTTAAGTCCTGCACTGCCACTGCACGATGCCAATTGTGAATGATAGTAAACTTTCCTTTGGACGATCCGAACGCATTGGTTAATCTGGGAGTGGAACTGCGACGAAAAGCCATCCATCGTTTAATGTTTCTCGGACGAATGCTTATCAAACTTCGTGCGACAGGGATACAGAGAAATCCAAATCTATCTTTCTCTGGAACAAGCTTGCCGTGTATTCTTAAGCGTGGCGAGCGTTCCAGTTTGCTATATATTTCAGGAGGGATTTCAAACGAGGGGGTTGAACCTCGAGACGCAAGAGAAAGGAACTGCAGCGGCCATCTTATCAGGCTGTCGCGGATATATTGTATTCGTGAACGGTAGCAGCCAAAGTGCACGGCGCCTTTTTAAGTATCACGAAAGGTAAGGTAAAAAGAGAAACAGAAGGTACAAAGATCGTGAAATTGGGTCATACCCTTTCTTTTAAGGACATGAAACATGCAAATGTCGGTACATATGGACATCAAATTATTGATATTTCTCCTGAGGTTACGTGATCGCTTGCAGGGGGAATATGACTGTCGTACAACCCTTCCCTTTGTGTTCTCAGCTTCATTCGAGAAGCGACTCCCACTGTTGGTTTCTCTTTATAGATCCATGTACTGGATTAACTCCACATCGTTGAATTTGTTTCAAGGTAGAGATAGCAGTCGTCTCTAGGAAAGATGCTGTTTCCACTCGGGAGCGTAAATACATTTCTGAGAGATAGGGATCCTACAATTGTTTCTCCCTTCAATTCTCGTGTTACTCCTCGCCAGTACCCAAGAGTGAGCGTAGTCGATCCAGTGTTTAAGGTGAAGTGAAACACGTCGCGGAACTTGATCAACGTCGAGAAAGAAGATTTTTCTAAATGCCTACGTTGCCGACGTTCGTTTTTACATTGACAGGTGTATCGAATTATATTGGGTATTGTCCCAAATGGCACACTCCACCTGTCGTTTTCGTATAACATTTATAAAGAAATCGAAGTAAAACTCCAGAAATCCTCTGGATTCATGCTTTCTGGGGCCCTAATTGACTGCAGTGGTACCCCCTGCGCCATCTGGGATTTCCAGATCAATTAAATTTTCACTGTAAGACCTCGTATTACCATCGTTTTGGCATAGAAGCGGCTACAACACTTTTTTTGCCTTTATCCCGTTCAAATGTGAGTTTATCGATTACCAGAGTGTTCTAAATTGTCGTAAAATTGTCCTGACCCTTTTTATTCTCATACCAGAGCCTTCGATAATTGTATATTGATCGAAATATGAGAGCTCGACGCCATTTTGGTTCTGGTCTGGGCCGAGTGAAAAAATTTAGTTAAAAAATCCAAATTTTGAATGTGTCAGGACAATTCTTAGATGATCAGGAGTGATGTGCCAAAGTTTCGGACAGTTCGGTCTAATACCCTTAAAAAAAAGTGTTGTACTCGAATCGACTGATTTGAAGGGGGTTTCACTTCACCTTAATGTCGACGTAACTTCACAGTTCGTGTCCGTCTCAATTGTTCCAAATTTTGCAAGTGAGTAAATGAATACGATGAATTATTTAGAAATTGAGGTAATCGCGTATTTTTTAGATATTTTCT